GCCTGCATTGGGCTCCACACTCAGCATGGAGTCTGCTTGGGATTCTCTCTCTCCCTCTGCCCCTCCCCCTGCTCGCGTGTGTGCACTCTCTCTCACTCTAAATAAATGCATAAAATCTTGAAATACAGTGAGGGTTATTTGTGAATGTTTGGATTCTACTTTGGGCTTACCCCACCCCAACATACTGGTTGGTTTTAATTATGTTTTGGGTATGTGAAACATCACTATATTTCCAAGAGTCATAGCCATACAAAAAAATACATGCAAAGGAGTGTCATTCACTCTTCATCTTAATGGGTACCCCATTTCCATTACCCATTTCTTCCTATTCTCCATTCCCACCAACCAGCTTTAGGTAACCAGTATCTTTTCCTTCTGGTTTATCCTTTCTGCATTTCTTTTGCACAAATAAGCAGATACATGTGCATTTTTTTTATATCCCTTTCTTTCTTACATGAAAGTTAGCATCCCATAGTCACTCCTGTGCACTTTCCTCCCCACCTAACAATAGGTCCTGAAAATATCAATGATAATTACTGATATACAAGAATTGGCACTAAGAACTTTATCAAATCAAGAGGTTTTTTGTGGACACTTTTTAAGATTTTTATTTATTTATTTATTTGACAGAGAGAGAGACAGCGAGAGTGGGAACACAAGCAGGTGGGAGTGGGAGCGGGAGAAGCAGGCTTCCTGTTGAGCAGGGAACCCAATGTGGGGCTCGATCCCAGGACCCTGGGATCATGACCTGAGCCTAAGGCAGATGCTTAATGACTGAGCCACCCAGGCGCCCCTTCACGGACACTTCTAATTCACATATATTAGCTTACCTCCTCAAAATACTAATTGATTTGAAAATCTTACTGAAAAGGCTTCTGCTTACTGGCTTGTTATATAGTGAGAAGTACGATTGCTGGCTTCTGCTTTATGCTTCCAAGAACAAGCTTATATACTTAAAATGTAACACATGGCACAATTACTGGGATAATAAGGTGCCATTTCTCGTACAACATTTACTATAAACTTAAAACCATCCCATCTCTAGGTGCAAACAGGTGCATTTGCATTTTGCTTAAGGAAGAAATAATCATGAAATTTAAAATATATTCCTTGAGTAAGTGTAAATAATCACTAATTTCCTACTTACAATATTTAACATTTTCCAAATCTTGAACATAAACACCAATTTTAATTTAAAGGGCCATTTCTTATACAATGTTCAATATAAATTTAAAGATATCCCATCTCTAGGCACAAAAGAGATTTACATTTTGCTTATGATAGACACGATCATGGAATTTAAAATGAGATCACTTTTTTTTTTAAGATTTTTTTACTTATTTATTTGACAGACAGGAAAGAGAGGGAACACAAGCAGGGGGAATGGGAGAGGGAGAAGCAGGCTTCCCGCGGAGCAGAGAGCCCAATGCAGGGCTCGATCCCAGGACCACAGGATCATGACCTGAGCTGAGGGCAGACGCTTAACAACTGAGCCACCCAGGCACCCCAAAATGAGATCACTTACGTGTAGTCACTAATTTCCTACAAACAATATGTAACATTTCCCAAATACTGAACATAAACTTCTTGAGACTTTTTCTCTCGATGAAAGAGAGAGACTAAGAAGTGACAATGTGGGGAGACATAATTCCTGGAGCTCTTTTCAGCACTCATCACAATCTGACATATTACATGTTTGTTTATTGGCTTTCTCCCACTGCGAGAACGTGGGCTATGTAACAGCGGGGACTGTGTCTGTTTTGTTCACTGACTTAACTTCAGTCTTGTATTTGATGCATTCCAAACACCCATTCTAAATGAGTAAATTGATGATGATAATGGAAGCTCTTCAGCATTCAATGTATTTCCAAGGTGATATTTATTCTGATTCTTCCAAAGAAGCAGCAGGAGCTAGTTTATCCAATATTTAGAAAAAAGCAGATGTCTTTTAAAGTTGTACCGAGTTAGCAATGAATATGAGAGAAATCTGAGACTGTTTCAGAAGCCCACTGATAAGTGGGGACAGTTAAAAACGTAGTTGGGGGAAATATGCTGCTTCGAGCTCTGGGCTGGACTGGATTTCTATGAAGAAATTAGAACCTTATGATATTACAGATGACTCCCTGTTCCTCATTACTAATTAACCATGACAAGAGATTTCTCTGAATATTGGAAACAGACACGTTATAACTCTTGTTCTTCTGTTGAAAATCCTCAAAGACAAGGAGAATAAGAGACATGCAAACTCCACCTATATGGCTGTCTATAATCTCAGATTATAACATAGAAGGTTAGAAAGTAGATGTATATTCATAAATGACTTAGTAGATAGAAGAATGTGAAACAAATGTCTGCTGGGAGGAAGGACAATAGGATGGGGCCAAATCATCTGTAAAACCTCAGAAAAGCACAGGAGTTAGAAGCACCAGGTGCTGTGGATGATGGGGTGAGGAAGGTAATTGAAAATACAGACATTATTTGAAGTTTATATAAGAAGCAGTTAGATCTCCAGAGAGCCACACCTACCCTGCCCAGCCAGGTGACCACCTTCTCCAAAACCCACAGGAAAGAGAATTATATTCATTAGAGAAAAAAAACCAGGGAGAATAGACTTAGGGATATCAGGCACAGAACAGGTGAGGGTCAAGTGCAGGACTGAAAGCGAGGGACTTGAGTAAAAGTCTGCATACTGAATGCTGAAACTCCAGCTCTTCTCTTGCCAGCTCTAGATATATACCCAGGATATATATCCTCCAGGAAAGAGATGGGTGGATTTTTTGCTAGAGAAGAACAGCACAAGGAAAAAACTTTATGAACACTGACTTTTGGGTGTTTCCAATAAAGGCTGGTGGGTCATCTTACTGCTGTATAGTTAAGCTCTCTATACACATAAGCTTCCAATCAGTTTTCCAGTGCCTAAGTATTAAGGAAGAGATAAGAGAAAATACTGCATCTATAAAACAAGAACAGAATGCTATGAAAAAGAAGGGAACAACTAGGGCAAAAAAAAGAGTTATTGGAAAACTATGACAGCCAATCCTTGTGAAAGGACTGGAAGGTGACGTTGCGAAAAATCTCTTAAAGTTAAATCAAAAACCAAAATAGAAAAACAAAAGTAGAATACAGGAAAGAAAACTTAAGATACTAGAGTATCAGTATAAGAAATCTAATTTTTGATTAAAAAGAGTTGTAGAAGGAGAAAACAGAGCACATGGTGGTGATAAAATTATCAATAAGTAGTACAAAAGCACTTCCCACAATCAAAGACTATCTCCAGGGCTTGCTAGGTACCAACAGAATAAATGGAAAAAAGGCCCAAGGACAATGGTGATAAAAAAGAAGATCCTAAAAGTTTCTGGAGAGCAAAAATGGTATAAAGAATTAAGAATAAGGGATGCCTGGGTGGCTCAGTCAGTTAAGTGTCTGCCTTTGGCTCAGGTCATGATCCTAGAGTCCTGGGAATGAGTCCTTCATTGGGCTCCTTGCTCAACCTGCTTCTCCCTCTGCCTGCCGCTCCCCCTGCTTGTGCTAGCTCTCTCTCTGACAAATAAATAGATGAATAAAAATCTTCAATAAAAAAAAGAATTAGGAATAAGAACATCATTTAATAACAAAATTATTAGAAGCTCAAGACAATGGAGCAATGCCTTCAAAATTCTGAGGGGAAATAATTCTTAACCTAGAATTACATTATGTCAAATAAATAGTAATGTATGAGAATGGAATAAAGATGCTTTTAGAAACATTAAGTTTTAAAAACTTACCTCCCATGCACTATTTCATAGGAAGCCACTGGCGGATGTGCCCCACCAAAATGAGAAATAAAATCAAAAAGGAAGATGATGACATGGGATCAAACACAGAAGAGAAATAATGGGAGTTTCCAGGATTAACAGCTAGGTGGTAAGCCTCGAGAGCATCCTAGGTCCAGGCTGAGCTTGATGGAAGGCTCTAAGATCAATGTCTCAGGGGAAATGTAACTGATGTAGAAAATTGTACTGAGAGGCATTTTACAAAGCTATTAAGGATTATCGATTATAGCTGCAGATTTGAAAAAGAATAAGCAAATTTTACTTTATTTAAAAAATTTTTTTAAGTAGGCTACACACCTAACGTGGGGCTTGAACTCACAACCCTGAGATCAAGAGTCACATGGTCACATGCTCTACCAACTGAACCAGCCAGGTGCCCCCTGTCAAGAATAAGCAAAATTTAAAATGAGGCATTTCCAAACCCCAGGAAAAACAAAATTGCTCAGGAAGGAAATGTTATCCTTGGTTCCACAATGAAACATATGTGCACAGTACTAATACTAAAAATACTGTAATATGGATTCAGACAAAAATCATGATATAATGGTATGAGATGATGGAGGGAGGAAGGAAAGTGAAAGACCTAAAATTCTCATCATCCATAAGCAGCAGCAAGAGATAACATATAAAAATGATGAAAAAAATTACAGCAGGATATGAATATTATTTAGAAACAGTGGAGGTAAAGATCAGAAGAACAGCCTCAGAGGTTGAAAGTGGCGCCTTTGGCGTGAGGAGGGGAAAAGAATTGCTGGTTTTTATTATAAGTCTTTGAGCATTATTTGATTTTTGAAATCATGCATATGTTACTTTGATAAAAACAAATTTAAAACCCAAACATATAAAAATATTATGGACAGTACAGAAGGAAGAGTTTTGAACTAGGAATGAAAATAAAAAACTACTGAGTGCTTATACTGTGATTTGGATAACTCATATAACTTCTTTGAGTCTCGACTTCTTTATCTATTCATTATGGGACTCTGGTTATTTCTGAGGGCCTTTCAAACAATAAGGTTTTCATTCCATAATGACAAAGTATTTTTCTAGGAGCAGCAAAGAAAGAGAAACTTTTCTCCATGGTCTCATGGTATAGCTGTACACATTTCTGTCCACTTTGCTAAGGGTCCCCCTACCTTTATGTCCAAATGGAACTGGCATGCCCGCACCCTGGAAACCCTATTGTACCTGTGAGGCTAGTCTCCGCATAGCCTCCTCCTGCCGCCTGCGCATTTCTGGGGTTCCTGGGCAGCTTCCACTGGGGATGGATGAGTGGGCTGAAGGTGGCTGTGTGAGTGGCAGCTCTCTGTTGGCATCCACATCTGGATTAAAAAGATGACATGTTTGTATGAGATATTCATAAAGCCCTGAGTAAAAGGAAGATTGGTTAAATTCCATTTGTTCTATGATCCAGCAATTCTACTCCAAGAGAAATAAAAACTTAGGTCCAGAGAAAAACTCGTACACAAATGTTCAAAGCAGCAAGATTCGTAACAGTGCAAAAGTGAAAACAATCCAAATGACCACCAACTGACGAACAGTTAAAATATGGAAAATCCATACAATGGAATATTACACTCATTCAAAGAAGCCAGTTACAGAAGACCGTCTACTGTATGATTCTCTTTATATGAAATTCCCAGAGTAGAGAAATCCATACAGACAAAAAGTAAATTGGTGGTTATATAGGGGTGAAGGTAGGGAGTTAGGGGGAGAATGGAGATTGACCACTAATGGGCACTGCTTTTAGGGGGAGACAAAAATGTTCTGATACTAGATTATGGTGATTGCTGCACAACTCTCTAATAAATAGAAAGTACTGAGTTGAACAATTTAAGTGGATGAATTGTGTGGTATGTGAATTGTAACTTAATAAAAATAAAGGTAGCTGTTTTTAAAAAATTCCATTTGTTCATGTTATTTAGAAAATGTCTTATCTCCTATAAGAAATTATAGACTATAGACTATATATATATGGGTACAGATCACAGTATAAAAACGGGTACCAAAATCAGGAGATTGTTGATGGTCACTAGCCATTGCAAAAGAGGAGGAATAGGGGAAGGTAGTCCTCATTTAACTCCCCACCAGTAGGACTGAATTAAGACTTCTTCCATCCAGCTGGGAGAGGAAATTCTCTGGTCACTGGAGCCGAGTTCAGAATAACTGTAGGAGGATAGCAGTGGGAGGCAGCAGTGGAAAAAGACTGAAAATGTGTGAACTGAGGTAAAGCTCAGTGACTGTCGCTGTATCATTTCTGTTGTTCACTCCTTCTCCCCACCCCATTCCCTTTATCTGGTGTTTGATTTTGTGGGCAATTACTGCCTGAATACCTTCTGTATTCCAGCTACTGTTTTCTAGAGATGACCTCCTTTTTGTCAGAGTATCTTTACTCTCTGCTTGGTACTCAGAGAACAGGAGAAACAAGTTCATAGGTAGGTAGCAGTCAGTATGTACAGCAAACCGGCAAAACAGACTTCTGAAACGAGCAGACTAGGGAGGGTAGGGGTTACTCACTTTAACAGCTGTCTGGGGGCTTGGCAGCTGTTGGCAAGTGTCAAATCCAAGTAATACCTACCCTGAGACTTTTAGTGATGAGAAAAGATAGTCTTGTATTAGACAGAGCTTCCCTAACTACTGTACTGAGTATACTTGTAGGTAACGTAATAATGCCTAAATTACACAACGGGTCTATTTTTACAAAATGTTTTTGTTCTTTGTGTATCTGTGCTGGGGGGGGTGGGTGGGTGATGATGGTGGTGGTGGAGACTGAGGGGGGAGTCAGGTTTGGGAAGGGGTGTGGGTGGAAAGCAGGATGACAGGCTACTGCCTGCCTTGACAGCTTTTCTGTACTGTCCCAGGGAAATGACAAGGAGGGGGCGGGCCGGGGGCTGAGTGTCTGTGGGGGAAGGACAGAGCCAGGCGAAGCAGGGCTGCAGGCTGAGAGGCTCACATCTTTCCCAGCAGTGCTGCGCAGTGTGTGGGTGGCAGGGGCGGAAGAAAGAAGGCAGATGATGCAGAGATGGAAGGCTGGGAGCTCCAATGATTTTCCACCTTGTTCTCGTTATTTCTACAACTGTATCACTGGTATCTCTGACGGAGGGTTAGGAAAGCCCTTGGGAATTCAAATAAACCTATCCCAGCTTGATGCAAATTAAACTCTGTAGAAAAATTAAGCCATCTCTTCATATAGACATCATTCTTATTCATTAATGAAAGAAATTCTGCTGCTGCCAGGAAAACTCCCAGCCCCAGCTTACATAATAACAGATTAATGCCGAAAAACAGCTCACACGCTTTATCAGTCACTTATTCTTGACCCTTTTTAAGGTCTAGTGGCTCTGGGAAAGTGGCGGAGGTAGGAGGTAGTTTGGACTTGGGCAGATTACAACAAAAATTATTTTGTACAAGGCTACTGCTGGTTCTGTGTAATTCTGATAAATACATAACCACATATTCTATCTCCTTTGACACCGCCTTCAAGTTTTGAAGGTTAACTATCAGGGCAAATCTACAGTCACAACATATGGACATTTATCTCAAGTATGGCAGTGTCCTGGTATTTTTAGAGTATCTCTAGAGATAAAAGGCAATGGATGTCAGAGAATAACTTAATGAACTACCTTTAAAGAACCTCTGCTTTGGGGAGAACGTGGGCTGTGTTCTATTAACTCTTGCTCTCCCAGGTACCTTTGCTTTCTCAGAAAGCAGCTCTTTTTGCCCTCAGGATTTATTCTGTCCTGCAGGATTCTACCATCCTGTTATCTGCAACAGCGATATACAGAGGAGTCAGAGAGCCTATTAGCAATCTGGTTTTCTTTCTGACACACTCAAAGAGTTAACCTCTTGGATTACTCAGATAAGATGTAGTCTGGTGTGATATTTAAGTACTCAAAGGAAAATACTGGAATAGGCTAGAGAGTTAATTTTGACTACTTTTCAACTTCAAGAAGATATGTTTTTAGAATCACAGAATTTTAACACAGGAACAAATCTTAAAGATCACTTCTTCATTTTACAGATGAGAAAACAGGTCTAAAAATTTCAATTAAAATTCTCAAGTTACAAAATATGTGTAGTCACATGAGTGTTGTTGGGGCTCAAACTCTGGGCTCTTGGCTCCCACCACACAATGTCAATTTCCCCCAGAAAAGCTTTCTGTAGAAACTAAGCATGACGGTGCTTGTGAGAAAGGAATTCTTCCATACCAATTTTTATCATACCCTGGGACTCTTAATTCAACCAGTTTTCTCTGTAGACACTAGTTCTTCTCCATGTGAGATATCCATTAAGTTAACCAGAGGTAATCTGCCTACTTAATGACAGGAGGCTGCTAATTAATTTCATCAGGAAGCCAGAATATCTGGAGGATGCGAAGTGAGTTCCTGTTGAGTTTCTAGCATGTGCTAGACTCTGTAACTACTATGATCTCAAGCCATTTCTAGTGGTTGCTGTCTGAAAATTTGCGGTGAGCTAGATTATTGATTTGGACTAGCAGAGCAATAGTTTCTGGTTTTGTTCTAAGTAACAGAAACCAGGCAGACTGGTTCTATATATATAGGTTATATAGGAAGAACATCTACACATTCTCTTTCTTCAGATGAGTTCCTCCAATAAGGAGAGGCAGGACAGCAAAGTGGGTAAGAGACTGGCCTCTGAAACAGACTGCTTAGGCTCATTTGTTTCACCACTGACTGGCTTTGAAACCTGGGAGGTCTACTTAACCTCTTTGAGCCTCAGATCACTTCTCTGTGACATGAAGATAACAGGAATTACCTTACTGAGTTGATAAGAGGATTGGGTGAATTAATATTGGTTAAGATCTTAGAGAGTGCCTGGTACTAAGGACCACATGAGTATTTTAAAAATAAGATCCTGGTGGTGATCGTTAAGCTGTGCCCTGTGATGAAAGAAGTATGAATATATATGAGATCTCAGCATCTTTTCACAAGGAAGCAGGAGAAACCCTTCAAGGACACAATGAAGTTCGAGCCCAAGCAGTGCAGTACTGATTTCAAGAGCAAGGAAACTAAAGCTGCACAAGACTGTGCCAGCTCGGAGCGAGAGGACACGGGCCCTGGCTGAGCAACAGCCGACAGTGACGGATGTAAACGGCTCTTACAGGCGATGCTGCAGTCATCTTCCAAAGGACAGAGTAACCAGACTGCCAGAAGGAAGAGTTATAAATTTATTCCCAGAGAAAGGTTTTCTCAGTCACACTTAGGTGACCACTAGATATGTGGGTTAAATGTAAACAGAGTATTACATTCTCTCTCTCAACTCTGAATTAATGGTCCTCTCACGTAAGTCAGGTTTTGCACATCAGAAAATAAAAGGATGTAAGGCTTAATATGTCAGAAAAACTTTCAGAGCAACGAAGCAGGGAGTTCTTTAAAAAGGAATACGTACGTTTGGGGGAGGCGTGTGGGCTGTCTGAGGCGATCTGTCTCATCCGTGTTCCATGGCAGCTGAGGGCCACCAGTCTGGAAATGATGGCAGTTTTGCCGAACCCAATGTTTCCCACAATCACTACTCCTTGGTTCACGCTGGCATTTGAACTCTGAAGTTGAGCATCTATTTCATGGAAAACCCAATCCCGGCCAACAAACACTGACTCTGTAGTGATGCTGGGCACTTCAAAGAGCAGAGGCTTCAGGGAGATATCTGGAGGCCTATAAGGTGCAAAATGAACTGGAAGGAACAATAAGAGAACACAGAACTTAGGCCAAACTGTCATCATTGAAAGAAATACAGAAGAAGAGCAGCATGGTTTAGGAGACTATTAGTTACAGTACGATGGTATACTTGGTTATTCAGCAAATAATACAACTCAATTTTGCTTCTACACAGATAAGCAACGGCAGATGAGCTAGGGTCATTTGATACTCCAATTGGCAGAAAACAAACATAGTTAAAATGCCAATGATTTACGGAACAGTCAGAAAGATAGGGTGATATTCAAAATTATTAAACAGTGGGGATGGCCCAGCACCAGCACTCCAAATGGATGCCAAAGTAGTACGGAAGCAGGGTCCTTAAGGCTTCCTTCTATGCCTGGAGATAATCTTTTAGCTGCTGGATTGTGGGGAGATACAGGGTTGGAGTCCCTGGGGGACAGTCTATGGCAGAGCACCCAGATGGCTTACAGCATCAGCTCTTTATCAACCAGTAAGGATGTATTTCAATATTTAACAACTAATATGGCTACTGTCTGTTTCTCTAAAAATACCAGTGAAAATAGTGATTCCTTTCAAGTTCATAATGGTATTTTTCTTTTTAATTTAGTAGGTATATTAGGATAAGCAAAGCCTCTAAAAGCTCTAATAGTTTAAAAAGTCTTCAACATGTTAAGCAGTCAAGGAAGCAGAAAACAAACTTTGACCTCAGGTATTTGCTCATCTGCTGCTTGTATTCATGCCAATTAAAAAAACAAAACCAAACCAAAAAACCAACAAAGAGTTTGGCTTATATACACCATGTCTTGGAGACAGATCCTACTGCTTTTCTCTAGATTTTTTTCTGTGCTTCTGTAGTTGTGGGATGTACTAAGATTCAAGCATGAGCTCTACTTTCAATAGTTTTCTAGAAATGCATAAGAGATGTAACTTGCTTTCAAAGATCAACCTAATTTTATTGATGGTAGAAAGAAGTGACCTCCCTTATCCGGGTTAAATGCCTTCCTAACTATTCAGAGAGTAGCTCTAAGATGTATCATTTTATCTGTCTGCAACCAGGTGGTTGTTGTTGTTGTTTTTAAAGTAAGCTCTATGCCCAGTGCGGGGCTTGAACTCACAACCCAGAGATCAAGAGTCACATGCTCTACCAACTGAGCCAGCCAGGTGCCCCAGGAACCAGATATTTTATTTTTGTATCTTTAACCTTAGCACAGTGCTTTGACAGATAGCAGGTACTCAAATAAATGTTTACTGAAAGAATTAATTGAAAATAAGGTATTATATTCTAACCCCATTTTATATTTTGGAGTATAAAGCCCAGGGGAAGGGGATGAGGACAGGAGAAAGGAAAATCATAAAAGGGGGAAATGAGATCTATTTATACTGCTTATATTATTCTAGAACATGATTAAGCCACTTAGACATCATTAAATGGGATCTAGAGATGGCAGCTTACTTGAGAAAATCTACTCACAAGCAAGCATACATGTATACACTCTCATTAAAAACTTTCTGAAAGCTATTAGAATGATAAAAGCGTTAAAAAAAGGAAAACAATTCTAAAAGTAGTGCAAATAATTAAAAATATAAAGCCAAACCCTAAAAAGAGAAGAAAACAGTTTCCTGTATCAGTTTTAAAATGTACCAAATTTTCACTTAAAAAAAAAAAAGGCTGTGGAGATTCGGCTATATAATTGCTTATAATTTCCTGATTCTCATCTCTTTAACAAAACTTATTCTTTTAAAATCCATCACTAAAAAAATAAAATAATAAAATCCACAACTATAGGCTATTATAACACTGTATGTTAATTGGACTTAAAAATTTTTAAAAATCCATTCCTATAATTACAGAATTCAGTGAAAATTTTGACTATTAACTTGCTAAATCTATTCTTTTTCATTCTAATGGCTTGTAGCTCATAGTCTATTTTACCTTTCTTAAACATTACTTTATTAAGCTACACTTTACAGATCATAAAATTCACCCTTTTAAAGTATACAGTTCAGTGGTTTTCAGGAAAGGTGACCCTTGCACTACATGGGGGATAGAGGAGCTGATGCCTCATGGAGTTGAAAATCCTCATGTAACATTTGACTCCCCCAAAACCTTACTAATATAGCCTACCTGACTCAAAGCCTTATTGGTAGCCAACTAACACATATTTTGTATGTTATACATACTATACACTATATTCTTACAATAAAGTTAGAGAAAAGAAAATGTTAGTAAGAAAAGCATAGGAGAAAATACATATAGAGCAGTGTCTGTAAAAAATCCACATAGAAGTCAACCAGCCCAGTTCAAATCTGTGTTGGTCAAGGGTCAACTATACATTTACAAAGTTGTGCAACCATCACTATCTAATTCCTGAACATTTTTATCACCCCCAAAGAAAACTCTACACCCCTTAACTGTTCCTTCCCAGTCCCCCTTCCTCCCAGACCCTGGCAACCAGACTTCCTGTCTTTACAGATTTGCCTATTCTGGACATACACGATAAATGTTATTGTGTAATACATGACCTTTTGTGTCTGGCTCATTTAGTATAATGTTTTTGAGGTTCATTCATGTTGAAGCATGTATCAGTACTTCATTCTTTTTATTGTTGAGTAATATTCCATTATATGGATATATCACATTTTGTTTATCAATTTATCTGATAAACATCTGCTTTGTTTCCACTTTTTGGCTATTATGAATTATGTTGGTATAAACATTCATGTATAAGTTTTTGTGTACATATGTTTTCAGTTATCTTGGGTATATATCTAGGAGTGGTATTGCTGAGTCATGTGGAAACTCTATGTTTAACTTTTTGAGAAACTGCCCAAACTGTTCTATTTTGCTTTTTGCTATTTTTTACAGAAGTAATACATATTCACTATAGAAAATTTAGGAATAGCAGATAAACAAGATAATAATTGTACTCCCAGTAGCCAGAGAGAAACACTACTCATATATATTCTGAATTTTTTTCTGTACCATAAATACTTATTTTAAAAACCCAAAATGGGATCATACTGTTTTATCATCTTTTTTCATTTTTCACTTAGCAATTCCAGAGTTCTGAAAAGGTTGATTCTGTCAGACTTGCCAGCTTAATGGCTACTTCAATGGGGGGACTGATTCTTGGAGCTCCCTACTCCCACCATTTTCCATGTCATTTGACAGTAGGTGGCTGCTACCTACTCGGGGCTTCCTGGGCACCTGGGAGTGCTTGGTGGGCACCCAGACAGACACACTGAGATCTGGATGAGCAGTGACAGGACTCCCCGGGAGGAAGGAGAAAATAGACCAGTTGGCTTGAGATGAGTCTAATTAGGCCTAGCGAGACTTAAAATCACACAACTGGTTTCAGAACTAGAAACAAAACCTAATTCTGACTCAAAAAAACAGGTTTTTTCCATTATATTATGGTGCAACTGCTCTATAGGATGTCACTTCCAAATCTGAAAGTGACATGAATGATCCCACTGATGACCAGGATTGATTAGGCTTAGCTGACAGGCTAAGCTGTCTTCTTTCTCCTTTACCTCTCCTGTGCTTCCCTTTAGAAACTGTGTGCTTAGCCAGAAATGACCTTTCCAGAGAGAGAAGAGCTACAGAAACTCCCATATGATTTCTACACTAACTGAATTATTTCTTCAGGTCCAAGGTTACTTTATATTTCGTATCAACGGGGCTTTCACGAATATGACCAATGCTAATTTATAATACGGAATTATGTATAGACTCAATTTAAACGCTTAAGTTTTTAAGAAAAATTCTCTTAACTTGTTCTCATGTTGACGTAATCTCCCATCATATTTTATTCTACTGAGAAAGCTTTGACATTTTAAAAAGTTATTTAAAAAATTTTCTAAAAATGTAATCAATTCACAAAAGCCTCAAGGGAAGAACAGACAAAATTAGCCAGTACCATATGGTAAAACAACTGTAGATGCCAAGAACAGCCTACAAACAATTTCTGTACCTCAGAACCTAAGGCTTTTGTCAGCTCAGTATGATAAAAGAAAGCCCTACTTCCTATGTACCAACAATAAATTTAGGGCATATGAACAAGAAAGCATTTTGGCCTGCATTGTGGGATATGGAGGTAATGGATGTTCTCTATGGAGTTCATATTCCTAAATAAATGTTTGTTTGGGATATCAGCTGTCTTCCAAGAGATTTTCTAAGGCAGAAACACTGAAATAATCCATCAGAAATTACCACTGTAACTACAGCTGAGCTAAGGGAAAAAAGATGAGCTAATCCATACCATTTAGTAACAGATGTGGCTTTCTTATCCCTGGCACTCAAGAGTTGGCAGTCCCAGCACAGCAAAGACCATCCCACCCCTCTTAAAGCATTCTAATAAAGTATAGTGGGGCGCCTGGGTGGCTCAGTTAAGCATCTGACTCGGTTTCTCGAGTCTCGCATCAGGCTCTGCACTCAGCGGGGAGTCTGCTTGAAGATTCTCTCCCTCTGCCTCCACCCTGACTCGAGGGCACGCTCACTCTCTCTCAAATAAATAAATCTTCTTTTTTTTAAGTGTACTGATACCTATAATTTACTTCAAAATTCATAAAAAATAATGGGTGGGTAAAGAGATGGGCAGATGGATAGACAGGTGATAAAATAAGGTAGCAAAATGTTCACGATATAATCAAGGTGGTGGGTCTGTAAGTGTTAATTGTAAGATTCTTTCCTTTCTGGTACATCTGAAAATCTTCCTAATAAAATGTTATAGGAAAAGAAAAACATGGAAAGGAATCACATTTCAAAAGGGCACACAAATGAGACAAGCTTTGGAAAGTAGTTTTAAAAAGGATTTAATAACCACTCTAGACTCAGATCGGTGTGGGCATCTCTTCAGTGTGTGCATCTCTTCAATGCAAATGAGGCTTGTGGCAGACGAATGAGTTCTCTCTAGGAAACAGTCTCTGTGAGACCATCAATAAGTGTAATTATATACCTAGGCTTATGGAGAAAAGAGACCTTTGTTTAACTAAGGCAAAGTGTAAACATTA